TTGTATGAGCACAACATCCATTTATGATGTTAGAGGGAGAAACTCAACAACCCGTCATCTCCCGACCGGATTTATGTGAATGACGGGATTCACAAGTAAAATCTTGTGATTTTTAAAAACAGGAGTAAAATCTGTGCTTGTGGAATAATCCTGAAATCAGGATTCATGAGAACAAGAAAATATTGTTAGAATTACAAAAAGGTGGAGCTCTCTGGAGACTCGGGGACTTCTCCACCCCGCAGAACAAAATCATTTATGATTTTTTAAAAATTCAGAGATATTTAAACTGGATTAAGTGACACGGAAACACTTCAGCTCCTGCTACTCAGATGTTGTTTAATTATAATATCTGTAGTTACCTTCCAGAGTAATCTGAGTAATATTTATATTTTCTCACATTTATAGTGACAATCAAAGAGAAACTTGTTGTTAAAGGTAAAAATATTCAGACGGGCTCTGCAGCTTTAAAGCAGCTCAGTGTGTTTCTAGAACAATCGTCACGCTCACTGTTCTCACTCTGCTGGAAGCAAGTCTCTGATTTATTTTTAATTTCTTTAAGCTGAACAAAAAACCTGAGAAACCAAGTCAGGATTTAAGCTAAAGTGACGTTACTGGATTTAAAAAAAAAGGTTCACCTGGAAAAACCCTCCAGAAACACAGAGAAGAAAATACTTATTAGAAAAAACAAATTTTATTCAGAGCGTCTGAACCTGGACGGGATAGACGTGAACACCTGCCATCTTCCAAAAAACCTCTGCAAATTATTTAGATTTGATTATTCTTCTGCAGTAAGTTTAAACCAGGAGTCAACAAATCTGTCCCCGGAGGGCGGGGTTATACAGGATGGTGGAATTTAAAAAAATAAAAAAAACTTACCTGCCGGGAAAAGGTTTAGTAGTTATGAGCAAAGTCTTTAAAATTCGTTCAAATCCTCATATTTAATCATGTTTACAGTAAATATAAAGGATCTGATGGTTCAGCTTCAGGACTGTGTGAAAGCCGCAGTACAACAACTGGCCAGCAGGTGTCAGCAAAGCCTCAGGTCTGTTACAAACGTTAATAATAAACCTGAGCGAGTACATTACTGATGCTCTGTGCTTCCCTCGTTATCATGTCTGTGGGCACCTTCCAGAACAATCTGAAGAGTTTCATCTAAAGAGAGAAGTTTAATGAAGAGCTGCGTGGACTCATTTGGTTTAAAGATGTTTCTGCAGTAAACGTAAGAGCAGGGATGGGACAGTTTATTAGGCATTACACAGACTCGTCCTCCATGAACTGCCATAAATTACAGCATGAATAACAAGCAGGATACAGACCTGCACAGCACAGAGGGATGTGAGCACACTTACAGACGGCAGAGTTTTGCAGGTTTGCTGCTGAAGTAACTGTGGGTTTAGTCTTCCTGCATAAAATCACTTTTCCTGCAGTTGCTGCTGCAGATGTATGTTAGCTGTGTGACTGTGGTGCTCAGCCTGAAAGCTCTCATGCAGCAGGTGAAACATCTCTGACTGGGTCAAACTGGTGAAGCTGAGGTGTAAATATTTCCCAACTCTGTAAAGGCGGTGAGCGTGACGAGGCTGCCGTCTCTGATGTTTGAGTTCATTTTCTGTCCTAATCACTGAAACGTGTTCCAGCTGCTGTGTCTGTGTTTTATTTACAAATGCTTTTCCACATCTCTGCTCTGACTGATGCTGCTGCACTGACCCGCTGACAGCCTTCCCACCTCCAGAGTCCAAACTGGGGTTAAACTGGTCCTGATGAAGGACACCAGGTCCCCCTGCTCCTGTAAATGTTTTTTTCTTTTTCTTTTTTAAGGTTGTGACTTTAAAGACTTAAAAGACCAATGAGAGGATTTTTTTTCTGCAGGTTCGAAGGTAACTTGGATTTTAAAAGGACGACAAACATGGTCACGTGACTGAACTGGGAGAACAGGATTTGTGTACAAAAAAAACAAACAAGTTAACTGTTATCCCTGAGAAATACCTGGAAACGAAATAATAATAAAAATGGGTAAAAGTCATTCTTGATGCTTCATAAAGAGACGATCAGTGCAGAAAATTCATGTCAAATATTCAGTTTTAAGTCCAATTTATTAATTCAGGAAGATCTTTGATCAACATGTATTTTGTAGACATGAGAACAAATTATATGCTGCGAAAAAAATCACACCCAAAACAAGCCGACGTGAAACTGAGTCACATGAGTGTGGATCACAAAACAAACAAACATACAGGCCTGTGGTTGTTGTTGTTTATTAAAAGGCCTCGGCACTGTTAAACACACACGGGTCTAAATGTTAATGAAGTCGTGAATCCTCAAGATGGTATTGTCAGCATAAACAGTGCAGATGATGATGATGATGTACGCAGGAGGAAGAAGTCCTTTCTTCAGCTAAAAGTGACGCAGAGGTGAAGACGACTGTAAACACTGGAATAGCTTTGATGTTGGATATCAACGCAGGCTCTGCTGTGCTCGTGGGGGGGAAAGGAAGAGCTATCATCAGCTTCAAAACTGACTTTGCAGAATGAAGCTGGACAATATTTACTGTTGGAAACAGTGGAAAAACTAAGGCACCTATTAGAGAACCACTCCAAACTTTAATGAACTTAACGAATATATGGAGGCCCAGTGTAGCTCACAGTGTGACTCCTCTGCACCTACAAATATGCTATTTAATAGTCCCCCAAGAACCTGTTTGATAAATATGTAATACTTTGATTCCTTAATATATTCTTAATCAGTGGTTAGCAGATTGGATCCTGACACGATCAATACAGTTAATAAACTGAGTTCATGTGCAGAGTGAATAACAGGGGGCCTAACGTTGATCCCTGTTGGACTCCTTTATCAGAGATGATATAATCATAACTGTTTTCACTGTTTAAGAAAAGTTGCTTCTCAATAGCATTTTTTGTTCCACGTGTGCACAATATAAAAGCTGTACTGTAGAAAACTGGTTATTAGAGATTTAAAATGAGCTCAACCAAACAGAAACGTTACAGAACAGAATTGTGACGATTGCAGAACGTTGGAGACGAACAGTTTGTGCAAAGTGAATAACAGTGGGCCCAATGTTGATCCCTGTGGGACTCCTAAATGAAGCTAATCTTAGAGGATGATTTCTCTGCTCCCTTTAAACCGATTATCATCATCTTCACACAAACCATTTCTACCTTTTTATATAAAGTTTGATCTTTTGTCCTTACAGGTCGGGGTACAGGTTTGCTCCTCGTATGATCTCGTAAACGTCAGCGTGATCATCCTGATTCTTCTTGTGTGGTTTTACGACAAACAGCCGTCGTCTCCCTTCTGATTCAACTTGTTGACGCTTCTAATGTTCATTTCCTCCTTTTTCCATT